AAATGAATAATAAATTATTATTTTTATTCATTAAATTCATTAAAATGATGTCATTTTACTTAGAATACGTAAGTCGATCATACCGGTCATACCGGTGGTGTCATGCCGGTTTCATGACCGGCACAGGTTGAACCAGGTTCAGCCAGGTGGCATGCCACCTGCATGACAACCATGGTTCTAGCACAAAGCGTGTTGTAGGGGTGCTGGTCAAAAATATGAAGTCTTGGAAAAACAGCGAAAAAGTAGGTATCAATACATGATAATGTAGATAAGTCAAACCATTAGTTGTCAGGTCGAAAACTGAAATCTAACCTGTTGTTACTTCACTTATCTGAAGACTACATACACCTAGCACAACAGAACCAGAACGGCCAAGGTATGCTAGTTCTTCCCCATCTAGAGATCGTGCAACATCGCCACAGATGGTGATATTAAGTCGTCATGCCTGCAAAAGTACAGCGAAACAAAGACAATGAAAAAAGAGGAAATAAAAGAAAACAAATGAAGGACTGGAAAAGTAGACAATTGTAATGCATCGAAAACCTCTCGTTTTGTATGACCAGCTTGCGCCTAATAATAGCATGAGCAGAGGTTACTGAGCATGACAGACCAGCTACGGACACAACTTTGCCCACAACATCTACATTTGAAGAGGTTGGCAAACATAGTCAGCTCGCCAACTGTAATGGTTAAATTAAAGCGGAGTTCATGAGTTTAAAGTAGCTTAGTAGGTAAACCTATTAGCTGGTTTGCTGAGCGAGGTAAGGAGCACAATGAGTTGAAGGCAACAAACTCAAACAAATTAGCACAAAAACCAGGCGACATCATGGTCACATTGTCAAATATGGTTTCTTGAGAAAGAACCAAATTCAATGTATGGGAGCAAGGACGCCACATCGTTTGTGGTTTTTGTAGATGGAATCTAGAAACTAAATATACACAGCCCAGTTGCAGGATTATGCGAAAATGGGCATCTAAATTTGATGGGGCAATAGCTTGAATCAATGTTCCCTGTGAAAGTAGGTAGCAGGCAAAGCAATAGAGACGACTCAAGATCATAAATGTTATTGGAGAATAGAAAAACTGAAAGCAAATAGCGTGTTACCTTCGCATCGATCCAGAGGCTGCAATATGGGTTTTCTAGGTTGTCAGATACCCAAACATGTAGGAGTCGTAATTTCAGAATAGTTTCTAGGTCTTAAGTTCCATTAAGATCAAGAAGTAGCTTAGGAGTAGACATCGCCTTTCTATGAGGAAATAGAGGAAGAAGGTTAAAGTGAGAGTAAGAATAAGAAAGGTGGAACAGCAGTAGCGTTATTCTTCTGGTGAGGCAAACAGAAAATTCGGGATATAGAGGAAGCAGCCACAGTAAAAATTAAGGTGGGAAGTAGACGAAACGAAAGGAAAAGAGGAAAGAAAGGGGATAAGATCGGGCACAAATGCAGGGCTAAAGGCCCAGATGGAAGAGCCGGGTTGTATTTTTTAGGTGGGGTTTTTCCAACATCAATTTTGTATACTGCAGCATCAGATCTCGTTGCTGATGGGGAATCGAAAACCACAAATGATGTATATAATTCTGGATAAACGGGAGGCATACACAAAATGTAGCAATGACATAACGGTACATATGCAAAATTCATTCCCAAAATGTGTCTTCAACATTCACAATAGATTCAGGCCGACTGAACTACCTGAAATGGACAGATCAACAAAGATCTACAAAATATGTGTATCTTGTTTAGGGAACGCTTGTACATCACAAAAGATGACCTAAAGTGTTGTTAATTAAGTCAGGGCTTAAGTAGAAACCGCAAAAGGCGGTTAAGTAGTCATAGCTTTCTTGATTCAAAACGGAGCTGGTCGAAGCTTATGTTCAATCGTCGAAAGCACACCAATCCCAAAGTGTTGCAACCCTGATATGTGGCACGGTGCTTTGACCTGGGTTTGCCCATGCAATGTACAATTCTGCTGCAAAGGTCTTCTTGCAGTTTCTCTTTATGATGGCTATTACTTCATCGGCTTTCAGTTTGAGATACTTTGGCGCGGCATGCAGAGTATTGACAGAGCTGCCTCATGATTGAGCACAACATCAGCCTCAGATGATTCGGATTTGCACCTTGCTTCGATTTGGTAATGCAGCCTGGTTAAAATTGAAGCTCGTTAGCTTTGTTGAGAATAATGCAAGTGTTCCTTGTCAAAAGTGCAAACGGGTCAACTTAAATATGTAATCTCACCTTGGCGTTTCCTGAGTGGTTCTGCAAATGCCATCTTTGTACTTGACATGAGTGAACCTGATTATGGTTCGGTAGAGGGTCTGAAATATAAAAATTGGTTTTGCTAGGTCAGAGTGCATGGTAATAGCAAGCGACACATACTTTAATGTCGGGATTTTACAAATCATCATAATATACCTCAAGATGTTGTGGTTCTAAACTCAAGTCATCTTTTATTTGAGCAAGTGATCTTCTTTGGGGCCGAGGGTAGCGTAAGTATCTCATCTAGAGGTGGCAATTTCAATCCAATCCACCAATCCAATCCATCAATCCATTAAAAATATCCACCTAATCCAATCCATTTAAATCCAATCCATTTTATCCAAATCCAATTGGATTGGTGGATTCATGGATTGGATCCATGGATCATTGGCAAATTACGGTTTAGTACCTATAATTTTAACTTTTTACATTTTGGTACCCAAAACTTATTTTTTTATACGAAAAATATCATTGGAAAATTACATTTTGGTACCTAAAATTTTTCATTATGACATTTTAGTACCCAAACTTTTTACATTTTACATATTGGTCCTTGGTTGATGATGTGATTTGGATTCATGGATAATCCACCAATCCACTTGATCCAATCCATGAATCCATTAGATCCAATCCATTTGATCCATGGATCCACCAATCCAATCCACCAATCCACCAATCCAATCCATTTGCCACCTCTAATCCCATCCTTTCAGCTGTTCCATAAATTATGTACTTGATTGGCTTACGGCATGGCAGAAACCTAAGTTTAGCAAATAGATGTTTATTATGTTAGGCTAACTTGTTGAAATGAAAGCATTTACGAAACGAACAAATTGTCCTGGAGATTGTTAGGAAATCACTAATACATGTTCATGACTGTTTCAGTGGCCTCATTGTATGGACTGATAATCAGACGACTGGCTTGTGTCGATTCCAGCTCATATATACCATCATCGTTGCATTTATGGGGCACGACGACCACCGATGTAATTGTGGTTATAAGTGGGAGGTGTGACTCTACATCTGCTGCTTGTTGGAGGTAACTACCGACATCGTAGCCACAGTACTGCACAGCAGCCTTGTTCCCACTATTTTGCAAATGCAAGCAAAATATAAATCATTTGATGTCTAAAGTTTTGACAATCTTAGGTACATAGTTTTGTATACCTGTAATCTTCAATAACCAGATGGAAATCAAGCATGCCATTTTGAAGTTCTTTTGGTAATGTGATTCGACGTACGCAGCCTGTAACATCTGTCATTGCATACATGTTATGGGATTGGTAGTGTGTGTTGGCTGTAAAAGTGAAGTACTGTGTTTTACCTGCATGGCAGTGGAAGGTTGTGAACTTTGAAAGGACCACTGAGAAATGAAAGTTGAGGAACGAGTGGAGAGGAAACTTAGGATTGTTCAGGTCTTCTTCGATGTTGTCAATCAGTTGGTCAGAGTTCATGAGCAGCCGCAGTTCTCCTGGGACAATCCGTTTGCTCTTACTCTAGGGAATTGCAAAGATGATGCTTAGGCGATGCAGACAACCAACTTTGATCATCGCCATCATGTCATCAATGTCCTTTTCATATGCCAGAGCTTCAATAACTCGTTTCAGCGGGATTAGCAGGTGTAAAAGAATGTTATAAATAGGCAGCATGTGTTTTTTTTGCTGGAAAATCGTAGACCAACCTTTTTATCCATCCAGAGCATACGCAGTGCTGGCGTTTTCCAAATCTTCCCGTCAATTACTTTTGTCCATGTTTTTAGGAGGTGAGCTATCACAGTACGGTTGTTGGTTCCCAACCGCAAGCCTCGAAACTTCATCGAAGTATAAATGGGGTCTACAATAGAGACATAAAACACACTAAGTAGAGTTACCATTTCTGGTAAGGTTGCGAAGCAATCGAATTCCAGCAGCTACTCAGACCTACAGAAAACAAACATCGAACCTTGGGGATCAGTGGGGACCTCGTAATCCCGCGAGGCGACTGGGTTGTCTCGGCGAAAAACTGCCATAGTTCGTGGGTCCACTGAGACAGAAGGAATCTAGATTAGAGAATTGTGATGTTTTTTTAGTGAGTGGTGTGCTTAGGACCAGACAATGACATACCTTGCCGCTAGGGTTTTGCACAGTGGTCGAGAGGCGCCGCTTTTACCGCCGATGCCAACGAAGATCTGAAACGATGTATGTTTTGTCGAAGGAGGCCATAGCAGGGCATAGGTGAATTGTATGCGGGCCCAAAAAATACAGGCCGAAAGGCTGATTTGGGCTTTCTAGCAAACAGAGTTGTTGTCACGTGTAACTATTTTTGCATCCTTAGGATTCTAGAATGATGCTCTTTGTTTTGTTTGGGTAAAAAAATAGTGTGAGGCCCAATGCATTTCTCTGGGCCATAAACATATGGATGAAGCCACTCATATATTCTGAGGATCAAATGTCCAACTGAATCAGTCATTAAGGAGATTACTCAATGAACCTCAGGAACTTATGAAGAACCCAACTCCAGGAAATGAACAGGATAACGTTGAACTAACCCAGCTCTTGTACTGATAATCGCGTCGTATATATTTTTCCCTTTCCCGCCACAACTTGAGCATTTTACAGTAAAGGATGACAAAAAGAGTTGCCATCACTTGCAAAAGGAAAACAGAATTAATTACACACAATCAAAGATGCCAAACGTGGTATGTTCATCGCACACATCTGGACCCAAAACCCATGAACTTAACATGGCCATGTCATTAGGGGAAGTCTAAGCTTGCAGTATATCTGCAAAGGCCTCCCTGAAAATGATATTCCGTGTGTAGTCATTCGGAATATCGTCATTGTTTTTAATCAAAATTCGTAAACCTTTGGCTAATTTAACTCTTGAGACTCCCACATACAGCTGGCCATGACTAAACACAGGTTTGGGCAAATAGATCCCAACCTTGTCGAGCGTTTGTCCTTGGCTCTTGTTTATTGTCATGCCATAACACAATCGAATTGGAAATTGCCGACGTTTAAGAGTGAATGGCCACTTGGGGTTCTCCACATTCAGTACAATTCTTGGAATGATAACTTCGTCGGTGTCACCAAAACCACCCATGATAGTTCCCTTGATGATATCATTGCCCAGCGATGTGATCATAACTCGTGTCCCGTTGCATAGACCAAGACCTGGATTGATGTTATGAAGCAACATAACAGGAGTATGGATCTTCAAGGTAAGTTTGTGATCTAGGATCCCATTGAATGTCAAAGAATTGAGAAATTCTGTCGGGTAGCACTCTTCGAATGAGTCGGCTGTCTCTGTTGTTTGCAGTAGTGAATCTGAACTGTAGTATGTTTTTCCTGGGTCTGCAACCTGCTCCAACATGTATTTGTTGAATTCAGAGACAGTTGCATTTGTCGGAGTCACAACTGCCCTATTTGCAAGATACAATGGATTTTTATAATTTTCTGCAAACGAATCATAGATGTCTGTTGCAAGATTCAATAGGATCAACACCATGATACACTAAAAAAACATGCGGGATCTGCACCCAGTCTGCTGGGGTGTCTTGGCGGAAAGATCTTGTTTTGAGACATCCATCTCCCAAGGCAAGAACCCACTGTGGAAATGTATAACCATGAAGAAACCGTTGTTCGTCTGGCAGGGAATCATTTATTCTCATATTTGTTGACAGTTTCAGAATTTTAAAAGAATCCCAGAGAAGAGATCGAGTTAGGGAGCCATCCACTGTCTGCTCACGGCCAGCCTCCGTTATAACAGGGAGTGTTTGTCTGAAGTCTCCACCAAACAGCACAGTTTTACCCCCAAACAACTTGTATCTCTCCCCACTCAATGGTATGTTCATGATGTCACATAAGGTACGATCCACTGCCTCAAAAGCTTGACGATGCGTCATGGGCGCCTCATCCCATATTATCAAAGAAGCTTCCTTGAGTAATTCTGCCAGGTGTGTCCCTTTCTTGATTGGGCAGGTTGAAGATGCATCCAATATAAGGGGTATCTTAAATCTAGAATGAGCAGTAGTTGCTTTAGGCAACAGTGTTGCTGCAATGCCCGATGAAGCAACTAAAATGACGATCTTTGATTGGCTTCTTAATTTTGCTGTGATCGCATTATATAGGAATGTCTTGTCGGTTCCCCCATGGCCATACAAAAAGAATGGACAACCAACATTATTGTGAACTGAGTTGAGCACTGCTGAATATACATGGAATTGTTCCATGTTGAGGGACTGCAACATTGTGTCGGCTAAATCACGCTGTTGTTGCACATCAAAGTCCAAGTGATCATTTATCAAGGTATTTGTTCCATCATCAGCTGGTGCATCTGTTGTCAGCGGGAGATTAAAAGCTTGCAGTGACGATGAGTGAGAGGCAAGCAATTGTTGCAGCTGGTGTAAGACCCAATTCTTAAGTCTTTCATCGCTCGGCAAATTAGCTTCAGGACCTCTGGTTCTGCTGACACTGTATGCATAATCATCTCCCATAAAACGCCAAGCTGAATTGAATAATGCCACAGGGTTTGGAATCTCACAAAACATCAGCATGGTCACGAAAGTAGTTCGAATTGTTCTCGGCATGCTAGAGGAAGCAATCTCAGCAAGTACCCTTATCCATTCCGATGAGTCAGACAAGAGACCCAATTTTTCACAAGCCTTTTCAAAATCTGGGCAGACCTCACCTTCAACGGTTCTTAGATGAGCATAACCATGGCACCGCGAACCTTGGTCAGCATAATCCTCAAGAAAAACACATCTCCAGACCCAGGCGATACATATGCAACCCGACCAATCGCAAACCCTCGTTTACGTGGTGTCCATTCCTTACAATCTGGAAGCCATGTATAGTGATTTGGTACTTGTGCAAATGTCAGGTTCCTGGCTTTAGAATCGCGACAGTTCAGTGCAAACCATTCAGTAAGATGCGTCTTGCCTGCATAGGGATTTCCCAGAACATTTTTCACATTTGCTTGCTTCTTGTAGGGAACTTTTTGCTGTCCATCTAAATGCACCCCAAGTCTAACCACTACTGGCTCCCTAACATGTATAGGATATTCATTTAACCTCCAAATAGCTTCATATGATAATAATGATCTGCAGTCGATGAACTCTTGAATTTCATCTTTATGCTTAACTGCAGATGGCACTTGATCATTGTTTGATGAGGTTGCATTTTCAGCAATAACCATTGATCGATCTGGGCCCTTTGTAACGTATTTGAACAGGTACTTGATCAACTTCCCCTTGTGGCACACTTCAACATTAATATGTGCCTACAAGCGAACCAGTAGATTTCTGTTATATGGCACGACATGACGATCATCCAACAAAGAACTTCCCTTTTGTATTTGAATTCCAGAATTCGTTCGTTTGTAGATGACATTGCCAAACTTGTCAAATGTTGTTGCTGAGTTGAACTCTTTAGGGAAGTGCTTGCCACACTTGCCACTTGTTGTGCATTTCCTATCTCGCATACATGGTGCGCCTGTGTTTGCTTCTCCGCAAGGGCCATGTAGCATATATTTTACAACAGCCTCATATCCTAGAGGATCCACTTTAGGGTCTGGAATTTCTGCCGAAATTACTTCATCTATATCTGTTGTTGTGTTCAATTTATTTTCAGCTGCAAGCCACACCAATAGGTGTATATGAGGAAGGCCTCGTTTCTGGAATTCAACTGTGTACATGACTGCACTTCAACAACTACGTTAGTTAGCTGATTCCATTCAAACACGAATGAGATACAAAAAAACACAGGGAACATAACATAAGGTTGACCAAAATGGCTGAAAATAAATGAATAAATGACTCACTTGCAAGTGTTTTCCCAAAATATGATTCCCTCTTGATGTCATCGATCAATATGTTTAGTTTGATGTGAAATACTCTCGAGACCACCATTGGCTTATCCGAGCTGTTTGGTCCGACAATTGAATCGAATGATTCTGTGATTTCTTCCCACAATGCATTACATGTGAAAGTTATGAAAAGATCAGGATTGCTAAAGAATTCAACAACTGTCATTGCATCATGATAGAGTTGTTCCATGTATCTTGGGCTGCCAATGTAAGTCCCTGGAAGTATCACATGTCCAAGCTTGTCACCATCGAGATCACCACGCGCCATTGCATCTTGTAGGCCCTGATATACCTCTGCCCTTAGTTCTGGCTGGTGATAACGTAAAAAAGCAAGGCGATTCAGCTCCACAGTTGAGAAAGCATCTATACAATAGTGTTGTAGCGCTTTGCCTGCTTGTAGAATTGTATGGCCTTCATTTTGGCGAAACTGTAGTCTGAATGCATAGTATTCTCGCTGGGTAACAAACTGTCTTCGCATGGAAGGAGGGCAGAATGTTGGGTTGTACTTGATGAGTGGATGATATCCATCTTCTCCGTATGGAAACAGCAAAGGGAAGTGAAGGGCCTCGAACTTGGGATTTAAGCTGGTTATGCGTTTTAAGCCATCATAAATATGATCAATGATAATATCCCGATCATCTCTATCGGGAATAAAGTCACCAGGTATTAGTGTTGTGATGTCAGAACTCGTTGGCAAATCATATTGCCTATTCCTGCTCTTTGCACCAAAAATTCTGAGCTTCAAAGTTGGCGTGTCAGAGTCATGTAGTTGCTGCCGAACCCTCCTAAATGTCCTGACCAGTTCATTGTGCTCATCAAGCATCCGTAGTAGAGAAGTAAGCAGCTCGGGCAATAGCTGCGCTTCACGGGAGGCAAAATTTGATAACCTGTGGTTGATCTCATTTTCTGGTTCAAAAATATACAGCTGCGCAAACTTTGTCTTTTCCCCGACAGGTGGCAGCAAAGAGCCAATTCGATGATAGTTCTCGCCACATATGACCATTGAATAAGGACCCCTGCTTGATAACGATCTAGGGTCTATTGTAGCTCCAAATTATGTAAAGCACAGCGAGCCATTGTAGGGTCGAATATTGTCTCTGAAATGCTTGGACATAGGAGAACCTCCAACCTGCAGCAGCTCTGCCAACAGAGCGGGTGGTTGTTTCAAAAATGGCAAAGCAACCCTTCCTTTTTGACAACATGACGCATATATCGGGTTAGTTGTATTCCTGCGTCTATCCAATCTTTCGAGATACCAAAACATAGCTCCGCAGTATTTGCAGACACTCTCTGGCTTGCCTATCTTCAAAATATCTGTATGCAAGTGCATCCTAGCAGGTGTAGTGTGTTTTTTTTGTTTGTGTAGCAGCATACTGATCTTGCTGTGCAGTATCATCTGAATAGGGATCCTTACTTGGGCCAACAGCCTGCGTTTGATTATCAGAAGAGGCATAATCCCCTTCTGGCAAACAAACTGGTGTGCGGGTCAAGTGATGACTGGCATTTGGCTGTTCATATTCGAAAAGGGTAGCAGGAACTAACTTGGTTGATGAATCTTGCCATGGTTCCAAATGCCTTGCTCTTTTCCTTTTCAAACTCTGTTCCTTCGTTCTGTTTTTTCTAGGAGTCATCGCTGCACAATAAATGCAAACAACAATCAATTGAAGACAAGTACAGAATTCATTGTTGCGTCCCTAAATAATGGCTGGTCTATCATAAATTTGATAGCAAAGAAATAAATGACTTGATGTTTCTCACCTGGAGCATGAAAGTATGGCTTCTCCTTGGAGAGAAGACAACTGACTTGATATGCAAGGTAATAAAAGCAGCTACAACAGTCTCCCTGGAGATTAAGGTTCTTAGTATCCAACAATGAATGTTGCATGAGTTTTCTGCAACAAAACTGAAGGTTCCATACTTGCCTGGTTCAGTGAAGAAGATGGTAGAGGAATGACATATTATGGGGAGCTGTGAAACCACAAGTTTTTTAATAAATGGGGGCTGCATTTAATGGTAATCCCTAATGATTAGACACCCACTTGCTGTCAAAGAATACGTTTTTGGCAGCAATCATTATAAAAACTGAGGGGCATTTAATGGCAACAATGATCCTCACTAAAGCACTCTGATGACCAAGGCATGAGATAGGGTGATGAATGAATGCTTCAATTGGATCAAAGAACAACTGTCGAGATGGAAGTGCAAGATTTAGAAGTCATCACCAAACAGAATTTGCAAACACTAACTGACCGAGAGCAAATAACTGGGTACTCTTGCTTAGCAATTATTAATAACATAATGCTTAATTTCAAAGCCTGTCCTGGTAAAGCAACACAAAACTTAGCAAATGGTGCATACATGTTCGTTTCATCTCATGTCACCTGAGTCTTCCAACAAACGCAACACAACAATGTAACAGTCGCAAAATAGATGCTACAAACAGTTACACCTAAGAGAAGCACATAGACCACATCGCATTAAGTAGGCATTGTTCATAATCACATTAAGCAGCACATATACAACCAAGAACAAATAGTTCCACAAAATGTTAGCCTTTCTAATTCCACACCAAGAAACGACTAATCACCATTGTTTTGTTCTAGATACCCCCCAAATACACCCTTCCTATACACAGCAGTTAAGTGTTTCCCTTGCCCCCATCACATATAAAATAATATAAGGGCATATACATACATAAGTGCATCACCTTCAAATGTAAACAGGTCTTTGCACAGGGCAAGGATTAAAACAAAGGCAAACCCAAAATTACAACCATCCTTACAACCAACCCCTAAACCACACAAAAGACAGCACACCATCTCCTCTGAGTAAGAATCTGCACATCACCAAAGAGTCCAACCCAGAGCCGCGCTGAAGCCTACACACTGGAAAAAGACGTTTTGCAGTTTGGAACAATGATCAGCACAATACTGTGTCAGCAATGAAGAAATAGTATGTATCCCAACCAGTAGCAAACACATCCCACAAATAAAGAGGAACAATAACCCACAAAAGATACTTACCCTTAAATTCATCCCTTGAACTGACTACGTTTAGCAGATGTTTTCTTGGAGACCTCTAAGGAGTCCCCGCCGATCCCAATGTTAAATGGTTTCTGTGAACCACAACTTTCTAGAGTAGACCTCTAATTGTCATCTAGCTTTTCAAGCTTGATCTTTGCCAGTGGAGAGAGCAACCTGAGACAGCAACTAATTTTTATGATACAAATGCACAAAAAATGTAAACGAAACTGAGTAATATAAAAGCAAGCATCAATGCACAGATGTAGGAACCTTCCCAGGGGAAGAGGCAGAATCAGTCTTACGAACCTTCACAGACACACCACCCAAAGGAGGGTTGACGTCCCTTGTTTTTGCAGAATTCCCAGGCGCAAGAAGCTGTCCTGAATTTGGCGAGACTATCGCACCAACTGCAGCACTTCCTTGCTGAGGCAGAGCAGATGTAGCAGGCAAGGCAACTGCAAGCACTGCCTCATCAGCTGGCGCGACAGGAGGTGGAGCAGGCTGTAAATTCTGTGGCAACTGAACTTGGACATGACCAGTTACATCGGCAAGAGCACTGTGGAAAACACTTTAAATTAAATAAAGAATCACACTGGCAATGAAGAAGGAAATAAGAGAGCACAATCAACCGACATAAAAAAAACAACTCAACATGATAGAAAGCAGCAAGCAACCTAGACACAGGAATTGGCTGGGAGCCAATACAGAAAGCAGGTGTTGAAGCTTCAATTAATGGTGAGTCCACACATTTGCCTTTACCCTTTTCCTCACGTGAAAGCCTGCCCAAGAGAAATAACCACAAAACCAAACAAAGCAAGTTACCAATGAGCAAAAAAGTTGGGCTAAATTTTCCAAATGTCTGGGAGGACAAACAACCTTGAGGAACTCGCTCCAATATCATATGGCTCTGAGGATTGAACTCCCAACGACATAGAAGGCGTAGCCTGCGGCACAATCTGTATAGGAGCTGGCAGAGCCAACTGAGGAGGGTGCTCAATCAATCCAGCAACCACAGTAGGATCGTTAATCGGAACCACTTGAGAAACGCGGAATTCCCCAGATGAAAGGCCAGTCGGCCCTGGAAGCGGCAGTCTGCAGTCAAACTGGACATACTGGCCTCGCAGTTGCTGAAGTTGGGGTGGAAGTTGTCCTGGGCGATATGGAAACCGCTGAGCAAGGTACGCAGCTGAAATATTCACCAAAGCATGCCCGCAACCACCCATTGCAATGAATCGAGCATCAGAAGTATTGTCCCTAAGAGTCAGCTGGATCTTGTAACTGAGCAACACATTAGGAAAAAAACTAAAGTCAGTGGAAGCTAACAAAAAAAACAAAAGAAGCCTTTGTAGATTGTAAAACTAACCAAATTCGAGTTTGATCCTCACTCAACTGCCAGTCTGTTGGGCACCAAAAAGTGTTGTCACGGCGGCGCGAAGTAGCATGATTACAGATGCGGAAAGAGTTGTAATACCAAGGGATGTTCTCCTCAACATCCACTATCACACCACTGCAACGATGTCTTTCTTCCTGAACAACGCAGAAAGTAAAACAATATTAGCTAGAGGCTGCGAAGCAGAGACAAAACAAAGCCCGTGAGTAGACAACTGCCAGTACCAGCGAAGCATTTGTCTGGGAAAGGACTCTGAGTTGTGCTAGGGTCTTTGTTCATCGAGTTGCATCCTCTGTAGCTGCAACAGCAGTTGCAAACTCAACAGGCAAGGAACAAACACCCTCACGCCTCTCCGCAAACCTAAACATACAACACACCAACAAATAGAAACCCAAGTAAAGTCAAGAAACCTGATGGAAAAAGGTACAACGGGCAGCGAGAACATTAGCATAAAACGGACCTGGTGACCAGATGATTTGCTTTTGGTACTGAAGGATTGACAGCAATTCTTGTGGCAGCTGAACTGGATAGGACATAAGCAGCTGATCCCAAGAAGAAATTTTTAAAAACAAAAGGAGGAAGCAGAACGCACAAAAGAGGTAAAGCAGCTCAGACCGGCACCAAATTGATGTACTCACCCCCTAACTTGTTGACCAAAAGGCCGCCAAACGCAAGAATCACCGTCTCGATCGCATCTGCCTGAGTCAAGACCACATGATCCAGGATTTGTGAGAATTCATCCCACAGAGTCACCGTCGCCTTCTCCCCACTACATATTTCGTGGAAGAAGCAAATTATTGGTCAGGAAGGGGAAAAACCAAAACCGTAAACCACATTAAAACACAGATACAAAAAGGAGAAAAAATCGAGGGACCACCTTTCATCCTCCACGACAACCGTCTGCTTGACTGTTGGCCCATTATTTGTGATTTTGTGAGAAACGCCACTGATTGAGTGCAACGGCCAACAATGTCTACACCAGTACAGATGACCACGTAAGGACCAGACACATGGAACACCAAGCAAAAAACAAAGTGGAGTGGGAGAATAATCTACGCCCACCTGTCAAGAAACGATGATCGCCAGCACGTGTAGACAGGGACTCGAACGGCAGAAACTCAAAAGAATCGACCGGAAAACTCTGGGAAGGAAGAGCACACTCCTGAAACGAAGTCGCCGGTGTGACTCCCACAGATAAGTCAAAAGAACATGCCCGATATAAATTTGGCAGGTTGCCAAGACCAAAAGACTTGACGACATATATCTTCCCAGCATGTAAGGAATGGGGAATGGCAGCCGCCATGGAAGGAGGTGAGAGGCCTTGAATCAATGTTCCCTGGAGAACACCAGCCAAACAGAATTAGTCAGTCAAATAGCGATGCAAAGAACTGAGAAACAACAGTGAAGGGAAAAAGAGGTCAGACCGTTTCGTCCACCCAGAGTGTGCAATAGTTGAATACCCTAACATCACCGGGAGACTTTGCAGGCCACATATGTAGCAGGCGCAGGCGAAGTGCCACACCAGATTTGCGCGGGCCGGCGAGATTACAGAGCAGCGTGTGTTCCATCTTGACATCCGAAACCAAGCAATCGCCGTAATAACTGGTCAGAGCAAAAGACGAAAGAAAGGAGAGCAAAGATTGAGAACGGATAGAGAGAATCTGGGACCAAAATTCGATTGGTTGCGAGGGAGGAAAGAGGAAGGCTTATACCTTGGGTACTGCCACTGAAAGAGAAGAGCACATGTGGTGGAGGCGCAAGGCAGGAAGCCATTGCATCAACTGTCATCTCTGCGCAGCAAAGCAGGGAGGTGATGCAGAGAGGGGGGAAAGTGGCGGCTAAACCCCGAGGAACAGAGAGAGGGCAAGAAGCAAGGACAATGCTTCTCTCGAGGAGCCACGTCAAAGGCTCAACAATAAAGGAAGGAAAGGAATGAAAAAGAAGCACAAATCATTACGCATCCGTGTTCGGCGCGACCCCCACCGCAAACCACCCTCGCCAGAGAGCATCGCCAAAAGCAATAATAAATGGGGCCAAAGCAGATATTGCTGCCCCCGGCGAAAGAAAAGAAGCCACGTAAGCACACACGAAGGCAACAACCAATAGGAGGGCAATGAACAGAGTAACTGAGTCCAAATGAATAGTCGGATGTGTCTTGGTGTACAGGGATTGGGTGTTTGTGGGATTAACTTTTCTTAATGTTGAATAAAGCAAAGCAAAAAGGTACATGAACAAATGCCCTATCTTCAAGTTGGTGACATATTTCTAGTTAGAGATAATGGATTGGGTTTGGTTTCTTTAAACCAAAACCCAATATTGCGGGTGACCAATTAAAAAAATCTTGTAAAATACTAATTGAATTTTAGAAGTGAAAATCCAACTCAAACCAATGAGTGCCCATAGATACATAATCACACATTATTTTTTCGAATAATATGATAATGTTACAAAGAAAAATTCTTATTAGTATATCTCCATGAAGATTACTTTCATCCATAGGTTTATATTACCATAAAGAATAATAATATTCATAAATTATTCATATTGTTCCGTTAAGATACAAAGTAACGTTATTTTCCTTGATGGATGTGGGTTAAAAAGAATGCAAGTTGTGTTTAGGCAAAACCTAAACTCGATCGAATCTGCCAATTTAAAAAACAGGAAAAACTCGTACCCTACCCAAAATCTTTAAACACTGAAATTTACCCGCTTTGATTGAGTTAGATACTCGTAAAATTCTGGATTTATTGACATTCCTACTTCTAGTTTTTTTTTTTTTTTTTTGTCATTCTTCTATTTGTTAGTTTAGTTCACTGTTCTGCTAAATAAGGCCTAAGGCCCCTTAGCTCGCATGTGATTGTTGGGCTTGTTTCCTATTTTGAATCCACTATCCACATTTTCACTGACTTAAGCACGAATGGGCCTAGGCCTATTTTTCACCCGCCTCAGATTTTTTGTCCTCCGGCTCAACACACAGACCACACACCGGAATATGACGAGACGGAAAGTTGCGCCGGCCACCACAATTGCAAAATGAGGCATTCAGATTGTACACGTGGCGGCCAACGCCCAACTATATAAACACCATCCACTCCTTATCCGGTTTTCCCCTCGAACCATCAAGCTCTCCGACTACCTCTGACCTTCCTCCGCAGCCATGGCTATCCAGGTAAGCCCTTAATTTCCCATCCATCACCTCCTTCTCCGCCTCAATTAATTATGTTCGATTTGATCAAAGGTGATTCCCCCTTCGTTTCACAGGCGTGGTTCATGGACGAATCCAGCGAAGACCAACGCCTCCCTCACCGCCGGAACCCCGACGAGCCCGTTTCAATTGACTACTTGGCCGGTAATTCTCCGACTTCCTCATCCTCCCCGGAATTACAATTCAGTTGCTGATTAAAATTGACTGGAGAAGATTTCATAATATGTGCTGCAGAATTGGGAGTGTTGTACTGGAAATTGAACCCTAAAAAGTACGAAGACGACGAGGAATTGAACGAAATTAGGCAAGCCAGGGGATACAATTACATGGTAGTTGCTTTTCTTTTCTTCTACTAATACCCATTTTACTGTTAGTTCTTGTTTGGTTAAAAGCTTATTCGAATTGGGTTGCCACTGTTTTGATTGATTGGGAGGGCAGGATTTGCTTGATTTGTGCCCGGAGAAAGTCGCCAATTACGAGGAGAAGCTCAAGAACTTCTACACGGAGCACATTCATGGCGACGAGGAGATTCGTTACTGCTTGGAAGGAAGTGGCTACTTTGATGTTCGTGACAAGAAGGACAGGTGGATTCGAATTTGGATCAAGCCTGGGGATCTCATCATTTTGCCTGCTGGAATCTACCACAGATTCACACTTGACACCACCGATTACATCAAGGTACTAGTAATGGTGGAAAGATCAGAACTTTTATATGGCTATAAACTGTCTTTCTTCAAACTGTTTGTGCTTTGCCTGATTGGTTTTGAAAGGTTTCTTTCTGATGGTTGTAGTTGATGAGACTGTTCATTGGAGAGCCAGTTTGGACAGCATACAACCGGCCCCAGGAAGAGCATCCGGCAAGGCAGGGTTACGTCGAAAGCATCAACTCTTATGGAGTGGCACAACCAGCTCATTGATTGCCTGTATCAGCAAATTACAAATGTGGTGGAATGGGAATTGTGACTTGTATGTATATTGTGTAGGGCTATAAGCAATAAGAAGGAAGCTCGTTCTTCTGGGTTTTCCATGATCAGGCTCTGAAGTAGTTGTTCATTATCTAAATGCTTTCAGTCACAAAAACTCCGCAGTTGTAAGCTCAATGGGACTGGTATCCCCGGCTCTAATCGAGTGGCACAAATAGCTCATTGATTGCATGTATTGGCAAACTACAAACGCAATCGAATCGGAATGGAGATTTGTATGTATATTGTATAAGGCTATAAGCAATAAGAAGGCTCGTTCTTCTGGTTTTACATGATCAGCGTCTGAAGTTTTACATGATCAGCGTCTGAAGTAGTAGTCGTTCATTAACTAAAAGCTTGAGTCATAAAAACTGAGCTGTTGTAAGCTCGATTGGACCGGTATCCCCAGCTCTAATCGCCTTCAAATCATCGCTATCCCCCTCCATGTATGCCCTCATAAACCCTACCATAGCTCCTGCAACAAACCTTCTCATGGGCTCTCTGGACTCCCCATTCTTGCACAAGCAGTAGCTGACTTTCCCTCTAACCCCTCTAGTCTCATCATCCAACATATCCAAATGTCCATAGTCTTTCACCACAAAGTAACAAGCTGGTTCTCTACATTCCCTGAAGAACTGCTCATGGTTCACACCCTTCGGTGCACAAGCAGGGAACAACGGGTTCCTTCGCAGCTCGCCCAGCCCGGAACCAATCACCATGACCGGCATATCCAGATCGAACGAACCAGGAACGTATGTGAGCACAGGGGGATGGGTTTGTTTCCCTGTGTCCATTCCATCAACTGGGTCGACTCCAATCAGGACCGAGAATCTCAGTGTAGTAGTAGTTGCCAATTCCTTCTTCAAGGCCAGGGCAAAAGCAGTTTTCCCACCTCGGCTATGACCGGCCAGACCGAGCCTGGTCAGGTCCGGTTTAACCGACCCCGGAAGGAATTGATGTAATCCTTCCGGTAACCAGTTGGTTATTGCAGCCGCCGAGTTGATCTCTTCTGTTGCATCAGGTCCCGCTACTGTGTACAGCTATGAACATAGTTACATAGACAGAGTATCAGACCATTTTCGAGAAAGATTCGACCTTTCTTGGCTACTTAATCAAAATTGGGTTTACTTAAATTACCTGAGGGGCGATGACGATGAAGCCATGGGAGGCGACGTGTTGGATGAGCTGAGAGTAGAAGTTGTTGGAGAGGAGGTAGCCATGGAGGAACAAGAGAACTGGGAATTCCCCTGCTTCAGTTGGAGAGGCAATCAAGAGCGGCTTTGGTGGGGGAGAAGGGATCGGTCTGGTCTTGGTGCGACATGGAGGTGTTGGGTTTAGGTTTTGGAGGTGGATCTTGTAGCTGCCACTCTGAAATACATCTATACCAGTTGCTGGAGCTACAGTGGAAGACATTACAGGCGCTGCTGGACTGTGCTTTCTTTTCTGGGTTTTGTTCTGCAATTGCTGTTATTGCTTTTGCGTTGATGGAGCTGTAGTTTCCTTTGCCATTAAGTCTTTGGAAGATTTTTGTCGAGTAATGGATGAAGATGGGGTGAAACTGTGTGGTATTTTGTGGCTGTACTTGTCTGGATTGTATTGGTGAAGTGAAAGAGAGCACCCGAGAGTGTTTTCGTCTCCGCCAAGAAATCAAGAGTTTCACATTTGTTGCGATGTGCAATGATTGGGCGTAGGCTTTTAACCCAATGTTTCTCTCCGGTGAACATAAGCCCAAAGTTTCTGGGCTTGTTTTTGCTTGGGTAGTCCTCGAGTCAAAAATTATTTCTTGTATTCAATCTTTACAGTTTTTTTTTTTTTTTTTTGGTAAAATTGAATCTTCATAGTTTATATTGAGTGATGAATATTTTTAACTGTGCAACTCAAAGCTATCCACTTGTAATGTTCTATAACATCCAATTTTATGGGTGATTGTGGATTTTAATTTTGAGTAAAGACTAATTATTAGCCAAATTTTTCTCGCGTTCTTTTTTATTAGTCAAACCTATTCAAATAATTAGTCAAATGTTTAACTTTAAGTTAGCAATTTTGTTAGTAATATTAACTTGACAAGTGACAACGTGATATTGACTTGGAAGTGGAGGTCAGTATTCTAAAACTTTTTCATTTTCACCAAGAAAAAAGTTACAAAATTATTAACGGTAACATAAAAATAACTAATGTTGTGATGTATCATAAAAAATTTGGTTAATTATTAGTAATTCAATAGATTTGGCTAATAAAAATCATGTAAAAAAGATTTGGCTAATAATTACTGTTAAGTCGTTAACCCTTTAATTTTTTAAAACAGTAGCATATTGGTTGGGTGCGGTTTTGATAGTTACGACCTCAGATTGCCCAAATGGACCCATTATGCTACATTGTATATTTAACTCTTATACATTTTATATATATACCTTCAATCACAAATATCTTACATTAATTGTTACACTTGTCATTGCTTTGCATAGTTATAATTGATAAATTATAAAGTCATTTCTTTATTAAAATGATCACTTAAACGATTTTTGTCTAGTATGAATGCACATTTTACATGCTATTTTGTTTTGTATTTCATATAATGTCATATATGTATTGTTATTCATGTTATCTTATTAAAATTATAAATTGTATTCTCGTATGATGAATTGGAATTTCATCAAACCGACTCAAATTGTGACTCAAGAAACCCAAAGAGTCTTCAAATTAAATAATGAATTTGAGTTTTGCTATAATTCAATTCGTAACTCATTGAGTGGATGATTAAAATGGTCAAAACCAATCTAACCGGCCCATATACAGCTTTAGGTAGTACATGTACCCAATGTAGTCAAAATCGTGATTTTACCTAAAATAAAAAACTGAGATAAAATCGGAATCGTAGATTAAAATCGTAAGATTTTAAGGTTCATAGTAAAATAAACACTTAAAATAGTAATAACAATGCATATCCTAAATAGCAGTCAACCACATATAACCTAATTACTTTCCAAGATAAGTTTGTTTGCTAAATAAACACAACTAAATCCATATATTTATCCTAAAACCTTATAAAATTCACTTAATTCAGTTAACAGTTAAGATTATAATTCACATAAGATCGTTAGAATCAACATTAACAAACCTCACACATCATCATCCTCACTCTCACTCTCATCCTCGTAGAATCCTTGTCTAATCACTTGAAGTACTTTCACTATTAGCCATATTTTCTTGAGCACCATCATCTAGAAAAGGTAACTCATTTATTGATGCATTCCCTTCTTAATCGCCAAAAGGTCGGGGATAGTGGTGCTGTAGGATTCGTAGATGAACGAAAGCTTGCAACGGAATGGAGATTGGGATAGTTGTGAGGGTGGTGCGAATAAACTGCGAGCTAATTGGGAGGGTGAAAGAAATCATTGATGAAAGGAGTTGGACGTCGGAGTGCGGAAGAGGATGATACGAGGAAGAGAACGAAAAATAAAGTGAGGGTCGCCTATCATGTTAGGGTTGTGTTGTTCATTATGTTGGGTCGGGGGAAGTAAACTTGACCCGATTCATGGGCAAAACCTGACTTGGCTGACCTAATTTTGCTTCAATAGACACGAACATTGAAATCGTAGAAATCGTAGATTTTAAGGACTTTGGAGTTTTAAATCGGAATTTTATGAGATTTTAAGTTTCAAAGAATTTGTAATAAAATCAGTATCGAGACTCAAAGGTAAGATCGTAAAATCGTAAGATTTTATAATCAAAATCGGGATTTTATGAGATTTTAAGTTTCAAAGATTTTGTAATAAAATCAGTATGCTCAAGGGAATCATAGCAGAGCTGGTGCCATCTTCCAGGAGGTTATGCGGCATTTGGAGGCACATGTTGGGTTTAGTGTTCGATTCGTTGGTCGGCGTAGTAATATAGCCCATTTGGTGGCTCACAATGCCCTTTCTTTGTACCCGATAGTGTGTCGTTCGTTTGATTTTGTGGCCTGGTTGAGGCACATAATGTAATGATCTATCTTTTCTATAACAATATATGATTATCTTTGTTAGGCCGGTAGTTATAATCGATAACCGTGATAGTGGTTAATCGATAATTTTTCAGTAATTCATTTCTTTTAGCTGACTTTACTTAGTGATTAATCGATAAAAAAAACTCAAGTCATCGTATACTAGTATAGACTATAGTCACATCGCTTGGAGATTTAATTAAAAGAAAATATCTCAAATTTTAAGAACAACCAAAATCGCAATTCCAAACATCCAAAAAATTTACTTACTGCAAACAACCCTCCATCCAAAATGTCATATATGTTTAAGAATCGGAATCTGAAAATCATCACTCTCTTACTCCCTTCTACAGTCGACAAAACTTTGATGACAAAATTAAACCCATTACAAGTTTAGGAAAATCATAATAAAACATCATTCCCTTATGTAAAGAAAAAAAATCATAAAACGTATCCATAAATCAGTTATTATCATCATGGGCCAAAATAACAGAGTTCCCACGGGCAAAGGAAAAAAAAAAAGGATTGAATAAACCCATATGCAAATAACAGAAAGCAAGCCCTGATCTGCCACCATGGCCCAAGCCCAACTAACACAACCCAGCAGTACTCCTTCCGCCGGCGGCGCCGCCCCTGAGTGCAAGAACGAGATGAAGAACGTCGCCGGCTTCAATTTGGTACTCCTTCCCCGTCTTGTCATCCGCCATCTGTTTCCCTTTGAAGATCAGCCGCTGCTGGTTCGGCGGGATTCCTTCCACCTCCTCCACTTTCACCTTTATCCCTGCAACCGTATCCTCCAAGTCCACGTCGACACCAATCTCCTTCCCCGTCAGCGTCTTCACCTTGATCATCGTCCCTCCCCTGAGCCTCAGAACCAGGTGAAGCGTCGATTCCTTCTGAATATTGTAATCGCCCAGCGTTCTACCTTCTTCCAGCTGCTTCCCGGCGAAAATCAGGCGCTGCTGGTCGGCCGGAATCCCCTCCTTGTCCTGAATCTTGGACTTGACGTTGTCCACGGTGTCGCTGCTCTCCACCTCCAGAGTAATCGTCTTCCCGGTGAGCGTTTTCACGAAGACCTGCATCTTTCTCAGTTGCCGATCGAATTTGATTAGGGGTTGATTGATGATTTCTTCTTTGACCTTTTTTCCTTCGTTAATTGGAGTGCCGGTTTGCAATTGGGTTTGCGTTAGTCGGGGGTCGGGTCTTTTTATAGCCTCTGATTTTTATTGCCGATTTCTGGTCGGAATAGGAGAAGCAGAGTTCCCTCCGACCAGTCCGAATCTGTCTCGGAGAAGGTGGGTCATTCCGATTTTCTAGCTGTTACCTCCCCAAATACGACACCGTGTTGCAGTTACTTCCCAAGTCATGCTTGAATTAAGCTGTTGTTGTAAAGAAGCATCAAACGAGATTATTAGGTAAATTGCGCAGCATCGATCACCCAAATGGACACCATAGATTTATCCATGGTAAGCTGTTGTATTCCAAAAACTCATTTCCTTGAAAACACCAACGTTTCCTCTGTGATGCCAGAGAACTCACTCAAATACCCATTGGCAGACTGTAGCAGTATGAAATTGGAATCGACGAGGCTGTTTTACCATCATTTTGCACCTTTATCGATCACAGACTTAGGAATTCGAATCGACTCGTCTACATATTTCAACCAAAATAGTTCAGTATGTTATTTGGATCAATACTTAACAACAATGTGTATGAGCAACCGCCATTGACGCGTCCGCTGGGCCTCTATCTACGCCGCTCGCCATTAGAGAAGGAATCGCGAGAATTGATTTTAGAGAGAAAGGAAAGAGAGCATTATATCTCTTTCAATATAAGTGATTTTTTTTTTCCGTAGAAAATTTACATTAGTCGTGTTATGGAAATACTAACCACCATTTATCACTTTACACAATCACCTACCATCAATTACCACCATAAAACTGTTATATATGTTGATATAGTTGGTCATGGAAAATATTAAAAGACAAAAAAGAAGTGGCTTAATAAAGTGACAAGCAACCAAGCAAAGAATAGGAAGATTCCCACAAATTTGGCATCAGCAGACAAACTATTTTTGATAAAAACACACGAGTGGCATGATGCTTCTCCAATATTTCCCATTCATCAGTCTTACTAACACTCAAGTGAAATCGAGAAACCAAACCCAGAAAAAACCCACTAAGAAACAAAGAGTGGAGAACATCACTCAAAAACCACTACAAAAGCCCATTTCCTCCACTGCAGTTCCAAATCAAAGCAAAAAGAAAACAACTGATGCTGGCTCCCACCTTAACAACAACAACAACAACAGCTACTAGCTTGCTACCAATTGACTCCCATATCTACACTGGATGGACCCATCTCCTGTCTTCTTGAACACAACATTAGTAAGCCAGACAAAAGCTAAAGCACCCCCTAAATCCCAAAGAGAATCTCAGGATCAAACTTGTCTTTATCTCCCACTCTTTTTGACCATACAAGCCCCATATCATCCTCCCACTTTAGTTTCAGTTAACAAAAGTAACATAGGACTTTGGGATCATTAAGCATTTCACATGGGTCTTCTGTTCTCTCTTTCCCTAGTAGTCTTCCCATTCAAACTACCTTTCCCTACCACCCCAATAAACAAATCCCACCAGCTTCTAATCTCCAATCCTTCTACCATATGGACTCTGGAGATACAAACCCTTACCCACCTGCTTTAGCTTAGTTTCTTTTACACTATACATTGGAACTTGGAAGGAACTCCTAATGTTTCAGGACTTTCAGGGATGCCCACCTTTATGAAGTGTCATGAACATACTCCCAAATCTGGAACTTCAAATCCTATGCCTGGACACCCCTCTCTTTTCAGCTGCAATTGCCAGAAGTCTCGACACCCCCTGCGTCCAGAGATCGTACTCCTTCTGACTCATGCACTCGAACTCCACCTCGCCTCGTAGCACTGTCTTCAGCCCAAAGTATCGCCGGTTCTCTCCACCCTCCAGCAAATGCCGGCCTGGCCAGGCCGGGACATCCTTGATCACCTCCAACACAATGTCTGCAGCATAAGCGTATAGGGACAGTACCAAAGCAAGATCAGATTACTGATCAATCAGCTTTTGATCGGGTTTCACGATCAAAGCAGCAAACTTTCACAAATCCCCAAATGGAAGGGACAGAATAAAGACTCATACACCATTGTTTTCACACCACCATTGATCCAAAGTAGGGCAGGAAGGAGTGAGAGTGACAAAAGGTAAAGTGATGACGATGGAAAAACGCTCTCTTTCAAAACACAGACTTACTCTTTTTCTTTTTGGTTATGGTCCCAGCAACATGTCTGCTCTTCATCTTCAACATAACCTGCACAAAAAGAAGTTTTGGGTAACAAGAAAGTTAAAGTAAGAACCAGGAAAAGGAAAAAGTAGCAGTCTATAGATCCCATTTATTTCATCATCATAACGATCAAAGATGGAATGGAGCTCATTGTTCTAGTAGTAGCTTAAGTTAAAGCTAATTGCTTTCGCTTTTCCTTTTTGGACTTGATCACCTTATTATTAGCTTTTTCCTCTTATATTCCCCTCTCTTCCCTACCTAGATGCTCATCATCTCCTTAACTACAATATCCCAATCATATCCACATTATGCAAAATGATTGGGAGGAACATTCACCAAAATTCCATAATTGGGTAATAAGTTGAGACGATAGGAAATTTCCCAAATGATCAAGCTAGTTAATATGGTGATAGTGGTATGCTTATACACATATCATATCGTCGAATCAACGTAGTAAAATGCATTTACACGATGTTAATTCGTGTATTCAGCAATTGAGAATTGTAATTCAGATGATCCGATTATGTTAGTTCATCCTGTCATGCGAACAAAGATAAGAGTGTTACCTGATTCGTCCTGTTGATGTAGACGGATACAACCTTCCAGTGCAGGTCGCCTGCATTATTAATGAAATTTCAGAATATCATTACTCATGTTTCATCTCTGTAATTGATAATTTGAGAAATTATTACTCAGGTTTCATCTCTGTAATTGAGAAAATGGAAAATCACCTTTGCGGGTTCGCTTCAGGAGATCACAGCCTCTGGCTAACAATTCTCTGCTGCAAATCCCCAGAAAATTCTCTTCAGGAACAAGCTCCCCGCTAGAACTTCCATTGCTACCGTTACCAGCCGCCGGACCACCGCCTCCGATCCCTCTCTCCACCGGGATCACCGCCGCAATGTTCCACACTTCCTTCAATGCCCTCGCCTTTAATGTCGCCGCGCCACGCAGAGCTGCATAAGGAAAAATAAAACCCAGATTGAGAAAACCCTAATCTTAAAACACCTAATTGAGATTTGGAAATTTGGGGGAAAAAATGGAATTTCTAACGTACACGTGGCAGCTGCGGCGGTCAAGGTCATGATATCCCCGGCCGACCTAACGTTCACGGCGGAGCTGACGACGGCGGCAAGATGCTCGCGCTCGGCCCCCATGGCCTCCGCCGCCTCCACGCACTGCGCGGCCACCAGCGTCGCCGCGGAAGCCACCGCCATGTCGGTCTTCGCGTGCTGCTCGTCCTTCCCCGCCCCGGAAGACGCCGCCGTGGCGGCAGCGATCGCCGCGACGGCAGCGGCGACTCCCGCAACGGTGATCGCGGCGTGGACCTGGGCGTTATGCGCCCTCGTCTCTTCCTTCTTCTTCTCCTTCCGATCCTTCAACCACCTACCCACCGTCCTCCCTCCGCCACCGCCGGGGCCTCCCATCATCGCTCCTCCGCCGCCGCCTGGCGTGCCGGAGGGCGTACGAAAATGGGGAATGGTGAAGTGGAGGTGGTGGTTGTTGTTGTTACCGGCCCGGCAGTTCTGCGAGCGGGACAAAGAACCACATATTGAGTAATCAACACAGGCAAGCATCTTGTTGTTCACCCCCGCCATTTTTGTTCAATGTTAAAGAAAAAAAATTCAACCGATTGGGAAAATGAATTAAAAAAATTGGCGGGTGGGTTAGGGAAAGCCAGAAAAACTCTGCCTCTGCCCTTTCCCTCTTCCCGTTCCCGCGTTTTTTCCTTCTATTCAGATTGAGAAATTCCACTCTGTATTATATATGGATGGATTAAGGAAATTGAAGATCCGTTAAAATTTTTACGGTTGGTTCCCTCGCATCACGGGTCCTATGTTTCAGTTCTCGCCTGGAAAATTCCGTATCAATTTTTTTTTCTTCCAATAAAACAAAATTTGGAAGAGAGAAAAAGGAAAAGGCAAAGTGACAGAGAGTCAGAGTCCCCTGTTTTTCCTTTTCTTTTCTTTGGACCAAAGCAAAGCATATGCTGGAAAATCAAAACCATGAATGATACTATTTCACTTTCTACAGTTTCATAGAAAAGAATTAAAAGAGAGGGAAGAGGGAGCATTGGGTACAGGAAAACTGAAGCATGAGTGAGTGTGTAATCTGGGTTGGGGGAGAAAATGTGTCAGTGGGTGACAGTGTTTGCCGTGCTTCTGTAGCACGAAAAGGAGCAAAAGAACAATCTCTAGAAATGGAGCCATTGATCACTTTAGTTACCATATCGATGAATAAATAGTGGGTGGTGGCCGGTGTTTGGCAGAGTGAAAGATTCCGGCCAAGACCCTAGAGTAACTACTAACAATAAATTTACCTTCACGTCCTCCATCTCCGACGGAGAAACTGGCGGGCTGTCGGTGAGTGAACCGTTGAGTGGGCCGCTGCTGTGTGAAAGCCTGCCGGAAGTTCTTGGAGAGACCTCTTGCTGGGTACCGGGAAAAAATTCCAATCAATAAAAAAAACAGAGCAATTGACATTAGTCAGAAGGATTGAATTTAAAAAATTATTCAGGTACTCTGCTTCTCACTACCAGCTCAGTAAGGCCTCAAGAAACGGACAAATGCCGATGGATTATTAAAACGATAAAAAGAAACAAACACAAACTTGATCCCTCTTAAAATGAAAACGGCGAGACTCGGGGAAACTGAGGATTCATCGAAGTTGACCTTCCCCGATTCACTGTTGATTAATTTAATAAGAAGAATGACAGCTGAAAAATGTGCAGGAAGTAGGTACTCTGTTTTTTTTTTTTTTTAATTCTTCTCCACTGGACGTTACAAACAGAGCAGGGAAAAAAAGGGGAAAAGGAAGCTCACCGAGTGGGATAAGATACGGTCCATCACCATCTGAGAAGTCTCGGAGGAAGCAAAGGAGAAAGGGTTGCCGGAGAAGACGGCGGCGCCGTCGTCGAGCTCGGCGGTGATGTCCTCCTGAATGGCGGCGTTGGCGGGCTTGGAGAAGAGCAATTGGTGGTGGTGGTGGTGGGGAGGCGGTGGTGGGGCCAGAGCCTTGGAGACCTCGGAGGCGGAGAGGCTCCAGGAGCGGGAGAGGAACTCCATCGGTTCTCTCGGGGTTTCCGGCGGGCGGAAGAAGGACGCGGCCGGGTCGGGCCGCCATGTTTCGGTTAGGGACAACTTGTCCATTGAAGCAGGAAGATGGAGACAGAGATGGAAGACACAGAGAGAGAGTAGGACAAGAATGGAGATTTGGGAAAGGATGAAGAAGAAGAGTGAGAGAGGGATTTTAATTAATTGTTTTTGGGTGGAGGAAGGAAGGGGAAGTAATAATAATAAGGTTGGGAGAGTGCTTTATAGAGAGGAAGAAGTGGGTTGATGAGAGAGAGAGGAGATAAAAGTGGGTGTGGAGATTGGAGAATGGAATGTCAGGGATTTAATTTATGATTTAAACTGTTAATTCGTCGTTAGTGTGTGTATTTGTTTTTGCATTTAATGGATTGAGGACTTAGGTTTTGGGGAAACAACAAAGATTAAGTGAGGATTTGGGGATTAATTTAATAATAATCATGATGATGAATTGAAAAAGGAGTCCGCGGACTGGAGTGAGTGAAGAATTATTGTTGGGCTATTTAGCAAGTCAATAATAAAAACAGAAACTCCTGTGAAGGGTTAGGGAAGGACTGTCCTACATAACGGCGGGAGGGGGCTCCTCTCCTCTCGGTTCTTCCGGGGAATCTTTTCGGCAGAGCAACTTTACCAGTAAGTCACTTTGTATTAAAAGCATGGACCTTGATTGGGTCATTAATGGAGCATTTTGTGAGAGACTGACTTAGCCCAACAACTTAGTGTTAGATGTGCACTTAAAATAGGACACATGAAGTTAATTCACATTATATATATATATATGATATTTACTATGGGGTTTTGATTCTGGTTTTCGGTTTAAACCAAAACCGAACCAATAAGGTCAATATCGGTTTTTGGGGTTTCTGGTCTTAATCAGTTTCTATCTTATCTGTTTCGGTTTAAACTGCAAATTTAACAAAAAAAAATCGAAATCGAAAAAACGGTCATCGAGCTATAGGGGGGTTTCATTTTAATTGGGGACGTAAGGTTCGGTTTAGATTTTGGGAAAACACAATGGTTTGGTTTTCTAATGGTTTCGATTCGGTTTAGTTCTGCTTTTAACCGAATTGATGGTCCTACTTTTAACTTTATACTCAAAGGAAGGGACAACAAATAGGCTGAGAATTCATTGAGGTTGGAATTGACGAGCTGGAGGTAGGATTGTTAATGAGTCGAGTAGAATCGAGTTTTGCCTTGTTCAGGTTTGATTGATTTATAAACGAGCTTAACTCGAGCTCGGCTCGTTTATGAACCAGCTGAGTCGAGCCAAACACGAGCCAACTCATTTATTGAATCTGGGCTCATCATTAAGATCGAAATTTTCGGCACGAGCTCAACTCTAAGATAATTTGTGAATTAAATACATTTTATGTCATATACGAGACATACTTGTTCACATACTCAAATTATTAAACGAACACATGAGGTGTGATATACAATTTAATAAATATATGCATCATTAAGAAACCAACTCATAAGATATATATATCAATTTTCTCATAAGTTGGATCGCCGATTACAGTTTTGAGACATCTCATTGAGTTCAAAATTGGATAGTTCATGAGTCGAACTCAACAAGCCACCTAATCGAACTAGTTCACGAGCCGAACAAGGTTGAGCTCAAGATCGCGGCTCGTTAATAAACGAATCGAGCTTTTATTAAATCAGACGAGCTTTTATCGAGTTCGTGAGCTAGCCGTTTGCGAATAGCTTATTTTTTATCCACCATATGAATCAATTTAGGTATTACTAGTAGTGCTTCTGATACCGTGTCGTCTATGTGTCCAAACGAGAGTGAGAGGAGGGGGGGGGGGGGGAATCTGGTGTTGAGGAATCGGCTGGACTGAAGGAAGAAAGGGGTGAGACGTCAGACGTAGCGATCGGATGCATTGAATGGTGTTAGGGAGATTTATGACAGAGAGGGAGAAAGGTCACGAGGAAAAGCCTCAAGTAGGCCGGAAGGAATTAATGAAGAAGAAGAAGAAGAAAGTTGCCAATTGGCTCAACGGACGGATGGATGGCAATTTGTACCGGTAGGAACGAGGAGGAAAGGAAGCATTAATAAAGCCACCAAGCTAGCAAGCTAGTAGCAACCGCGGAAGGATATGGGTATTGTGTAGCCTTTCAGCCTACCGGTCACCACCACCACCATCCATCTCCGGCCATCCATCAATCAGAAATCAGTCAGCTTCATCTCTTTCAATCTTCAATGTGCCAATCCCACGTACGGCCCCAACGTGCCTTTGCCTTCTCCGTTGTAAGACTGATTTATATCGTTGTATATGTTTGACAAGTGATATGACCTAATTGATACTAGGTCCAGGATGAGTATTTCGATATTCATACCCGTTACGTGACAGGTCACGTGATTTATTATCACTATGTTTCCGAAGGAAGGGAGGAAAATGGAGGGGAGGGGAAGGGAATTAGGAGGGGAGGGACAATTTGGAGGTTAAGGAAATGGGAGGGAAAATTGTGTTTTATAGAGGAAAGTGGGAAGGAAAATGTGTATTGGGAATTGTGATGAATAAGTTATTTTATTAGGGTTATAATAGTATAATAATTTGATTATATGTTGATATTATTTTCATTGTTTAAGAATTTTGAATTAAAATTTTATTTTTTTGCTAATTTTGTTCACTATTAAAGTAATTTTGCAGTATTACGCCAATATAGTGCAAGTTTAATATGTTCTATTATGTTGTGTTAATAATGGTATTACGATGATATGATACCCATTGAAACATGGTGGCGGCAGGAGTTGGGTTCTCATATATCACAAGCGTTTGGGGAAATCGTTTGGTCGTCAATTAGAGAGCAAGTTTGTGGGGTTTGGGTCGGCGGAGCTCGGATTTCGCCGCTCATCTCACTCGATAATGTCAACTTATTTTAGCAACACTGCAATCGTGATTGACATGATAACATCCTGATGAAACATCATTTCACTTACTTGTCCAATAAAAATAACCCAAAAAATTTCACAAACTTTGCTAAAAAACAATTTCCTAAATAATTATCTCTTGTTAATCTTAGTTCTTACCCACTACGTTAATTTTAGGTTGACAAAAAACAATAGAAAATAAATTTTGTACCATTTATTCCACCTAATATTATATCCTATAACAATCCTACAACTTGTAAAGGAAAAAAAAAAAAAAAGGAATGCGGAGGAAGATGAGTGTTTTCCGCCCAAAATGGAGGGGCTAGTAAAACAGTATTCTGTCCCTTGCTTTTCCTCCACTCCACACTGTTACTAATTTGGAGAACAGGGGAAAACTCCTCAAAAGTAGCGCTTTCCTCCCTTTCTTTCCTTTCTTCCCTTTTCTCTCCTTCCGAAACAGGGCATATAGGATGCGGGTTGGGGTAGGTTGCAACTTTTAGTGCGTAACCGTCAATCTAACTGATCATTTATTATGGTCGAACCCAAATCTAAAATACCGGGGTGTTACAACTTACAACCGGTTTGACAACCATGCTCTCTCTCTCTATGCACCTTCTCGTTGCTCTTGTAGTCTGGTGTACCCATCTCCTCTAGTGTGTTCAGTCCTCCTCCTAGACACTATTGATGCGTGATCGGTTTCACGCGGCGAACGTCTCAAACTCAAAGACAAAGCCAACTATGAAGAACTAAGAAAAAGTGATCAATTACAACTAAATTACTATAAATACTTGACTTCTTAGGCCCTTGTTCAGTATCATTTAAGTTTTGTTTCCACATATGAAACCAGATAAAAAATCACGTTTAATTCTATTTTCATATGTTGTTGGGCCAACAGGAGTTTGCAACACAATATAAATTAGCTGAAAATAGTGAAACAACATTAAGTAGCATCTTTGTTGTTTTCAAAAGTTGTTTCTTGTAGTATCCTATAAGTTTTTGTAATAATTTCATTCAAAAAGTTTATGATAGACTAACTTTCTAATACTTTTCCCACTTCATTTTTTCATAACTCATTCTTGAAATAGTATTGTCAATATTCTTTTATATTTTTCTCTCATTTTCTCAGAAATCCCATAATTGCTCAGAATTACCAACAAAATGTGTTTATATTTTCCATTTATATGGTGTTGTGTTTATTGAAAAACCACCAACCATTGAGTTTCCAAAATTCAATAGTTAGGAGGATGCTGACTTGTGGTTATATGTTGCTGACATGTGATTCAAGAACCATCCCACTAGAGAAGAAAGAAAGGTGCAACTGGTGTCTTTATACTTAGAGTGAGATGCCCTATAATTGTGGGAGTAGTACGAGAGATCTTACGTTGAGTGGACAACCCTGATTACATGGTCGAGGGTCTAGGACGAGCTCTGGTATCAATTTGGAAGGTCATAGGTTTGGGCCCCAGAGAAACTGGCTAAGTTGAGCAAATCGGGAAGGTAACGGAGTACAGATCAGAGTTTCTCAAACTGGAGAACATGTGAAAAGGCATCCATGAGGAGACTCCAGTGGGCTTGTGCATGACTGGTCTACGACCAAAGATCGCACTTGCAGAAGGTATTTGAGCACGACTCATTGAGATCCTCCTTTAGACTTTCTGGTCACTAGGAGGAATAGATAGTGAGTTGGAGGAGCACTGTAGGCCGCTATCAGAAGCCTAGTGGAGGAGGGAGTGGCAGTACTGCTACCAACAATGGTCGGGGAGCGATGGGGGGAGCTGGCACTAGTACAACATCCACCAATGCATCCACATCGAGGGTGGTTCAATCTGGATCCCAAGATCCTTCAAGGGTTTGTCAAGTTTTCTCCGGTAGAGATCGAGCAGAAGAGGAGATAAGAGAAGTGCTTTAGCTAAAACGAAAGGTTCTCGTTCAATCACTAGTGGTCGAAGCCCGATTTGATGATGCTTGTGTGGATGAGACTAATGATGAAATAGAGGAAGAAAGGAGGGAATACCAGGATGCTACTACTTAACCTTGAGAGCAAGGTTGCTCTCAATGGGGTAGAGATGATAGAAACATGGATTTCTGACTAGTTTAGCATTTAAACCTATCTGTCGGTTATTTATTTTTATCACGTTGGATGTGTTTTTGAGAGGGAGGATTTGGGGTATACTTGGAT